CATCCCTTTCCCTGGGGGCTCAGTGCTCAGCATACACTGTAGAATCACGCAGTAACGCACTCTGATGATTGTATTTCCAGCTGTTTGTTGAGAGCTATGCTAGTATCGGTGTCTTGGGTATTGATATCATGTTCATGATCTTTGATAGCGGATGTCTTGTCGTTGGGCTCAAGGATCTTCCAGGCAGATTCATGTGAGTCGTCAAATCGCTTGACTAGACACTTGTTCCTGATCATGTCGCCCCAGAAGTCGCTCGTCAACTGCTCCTCCCTATTTGTCCCAACCTGTGGAGAAACATGTGTCCACATCGTCGTCAGCAACACAAGTTGCGGCATTTTCGTCTGGGAGCACAGGCTCGTGAATGATTCGAAACTTCGCCATGCTGGCCCAGACATTCGATTGTCGGAAATCCGGTGTAGGTAGAGGATAGTGTCAATATTTCGTTCATTACTGCTGATAAATGAGGCCCCAATGCTCTGTGCTTATGTACGTAGATAGCTTACGCATTCTTTAGGAAGTCCAGAACCATCAGCAGAATATTAGTGGACGGCATGTAGGTTTCGTCGATACCAGGAGTATCGATAAAGACTACCGGTTTACTCCCCATCCTTGTACATCGAATTTCGCTTGCCCCGGGTAATATTCCATTATTAACACCGAGATTATCTTCTCCAGTGGCATATTGGATAAACTGTATGAATAGTTAACTAGTGAGGGGGCTTGTGCGGGAATCTTACAGTCGTCTTCCCCACTCCAGCCGCACCTATGACTCTGTACGTTACATACATGAGTATAAACTCGCTAATGGTGATGCAAAACGCACATGATGATTCTATCTCCTCGACAAATTTGTGTAGACAAGTTCTTGAAAGACATCGTGTATGTGACCTTGATTGGCGACTTGCGATTGTAGGCGGGGGTGGTATAGCAGAGAAAGGCGGGAAAAGCGCTCGAAATACAATCATCAGAGTGCGTTACTGCGTGATTCTACAGTGTATGCTGAGCACTGAGCCCCCAGGGAAAGGGATG